ACGCGGGTGGCCTGCGGGCTTGGCTGGCACCAGGCCTGGTAGGTTGCCAGGCCTTGCCCGGTGCGGATGCTGCCACCTGCTGTTTAACCGGGCCTGGTCATGTCATCAGGTGGCTGGCTGCGGAATCCTAGGGCGCCCTGGGGCTAGTGCTGGCCCACTGGTGGACAGAGTCAGGGTCCTGAAGATTCTAGACTCTGGGGCTGTTGCCCATCCGCTGGCAGGTGAAGCCAGCTGCTGGGGTTAGCACCGGTCCACTGAGGGGCAGAGCTGGCTCCTGGAGCCTGGCTGTAGGGCCCAGGAATCGCGGATCATTGGTGGAGGGGAGAAGGGGGAAAGTTCCTGATATAGTTGGTGTCGGGGCGGGGTGTCCCGAAGCTTGCGTTGGGCTGCTAGTGGTCAGGGCCAGGGCCAGGGCCAGGGCCAGTGTCCAGCTGGTCCCATGGCTGCGGCTGACCTGCGATGCAGGCTCCTAGTTCTATTGCCTCTGGCGTCTGCCCCCTGGTGGGTGAGGCTGGTCTGGAGGCTTCAGCTGGCTTTCTGGTGGGAGGGGCCTCTAGCCCAGTGGTGGGCGGAGACCGGTCCTGGCCCTGGGGTGGGCGGGGGCATTCTAGGGGGCGTGTCCAGAGGCAGCTGTGTTCTCCTTAGCCTTTAAGCAGCCTGTTTGTTTGTGCCTGTTAGTTGTTTGACCTGTGGCATCCCAGCGCTGGCGTCTGCAAGCTGCTGCGTGGGGCCAGGTCTCCGCGCTAGGAGCCCGGACACCAGCCTGCACAGCAGCAGTGCTCTTCCCGGGGCTGAATGTCTGCCACCAGTAGATCTGCCACCAGTGAGTGTGTCCCCAGGGTGAGCTGCAGCTGCCCCCCACCTCTCCAGGAGGCTCTCCAAGACCAGCAGGTAGGTCTGGCCTGGGCTCCTATGAGATGACTGCTTTTTCCCTGGGTCCCGGTGGGTCCTGAGGTCTTGTGTGCGCCCTTTAAGAGTGACGTCTCTGTCTTCCTGTCCTGTGGGGCTCCTGCACTTAAGCCCCCTGGCCTTCAAAGCCAAATGCTCTGGGGGGGTCCCCTTTCTGGTCCTGGTCCCCCAGGCTGGGGAGCCTGATGTGGGGCTCAGAGATCTCCTTCCTGTGGGAGGGCCTCTGCATAACCATCCTCGTGTGTGGGGCCCTTCCCCCAGTATGGGGTTTGGTTGTGTCACTGTCCGCCCCTCCTACTCCCTGATTGAGGTTCCTTTATGACTCTAGTTGTAGAACAGCTTCTCTGGAAGGTTCCAGTCTTCTTCATTGATGGTTGCTTTGCAGATAGTTATGATTTTGGGGTGCTCGTGAGAGGAGGTGCACCCAGTACTCCGCCGTCTTGGCCACTCTCCCAAATCACCTGGGAATCTTGTTAAACTGAAGCTCCTGATTCAGCCTGTCTGGGAAGGAACATGAATTCCTGTGGTTCTAACAAGTTATCAGATGGTGCTTATGCGGCTGGTCTGGGGACGACACTTTGAGAAAAAAGCATCCAGGTTAGTGTTTGTCACACTTGTCGCAGCTGGAATTCCCTGGGAAGCTTTGAACATAGCTGTCACCTGGGCCCCGGGCCAGAGACTTTGAGTCAGCTGGGTTGGGGATTTTGAAAACTTCCTAGGTGATTCTAATGTTTGTCCAACTGGTCCAGGACAGCGGTTCTGAAAGCCCAATGTACACAGACTCCCCTGGAGGACTTGTTAAAACGTGTACTGCTGGGCCCAACCCCAGAGTCTGATTCAGCACATCTGGGGTGGGGCCTGAGAATTTGCATTTCTAAAAAGTCCCCAGGCGATGCTGGTGTTGTTGGTCTGGGGTAACACACATTAAGAAACACTGGTCTACAAGCAAGACAGTCATGGAAATAGAAGACTTGCTGTAAAACGTGAGAAGTTCAACAATAGAACTGTGTACAGTTGGTAGCAAGAGAGAAACCTAGTTAAGAAAGGGCTTCAGGGAGGAGGTGATGGCTGAGTTGGAATCAGAAAGACACAGAGGATGGGGAAGTGGTGATAGAAACAACTTTAGCCAGAGAGAACATGTATAAAGATACACTGAGATGAAAGGGCAGGGTGCATTTTGGGGACCTTGTGAAATCTGATATTGTGAAGATATCCTAAACTCAGAACAAGGTAGTTACGATAACGCCCAAGATTTGATCCCGAGGCTGGGACGAAGCCCTGAGGGGCATCCCATGCAATTCTTAGACTTTACTCTCAAAGCAGTCGAAGGGGTTAAGATCAACGTGATAGTGATGGGGGTGGGTCTGAGGAACAACGGGTCCACAAAGAAGTGATTGGAACAACTCACAATGGAGACACCGGTGGCACAAACTTGGGTAGTGGGAGGGAGCCCCGGAGAATGTGGAGGGAGGAGGTAAACCCAAGATGTCAAGAGAATTAGGTTGATGGCAACATCAACTTGATGTTAGCCTTGGGGTCAGGTTGTGTTGGCTCAATTAACCAAATTGATGGTGGCACCAAATAAACAGGGAGAAAGGTATTTAGGGGTCAGGCGGAGATGGGGATAGCAGAGGAGGTAAAGATTTGTATATATTGGCGATATCGAGCAAGCAATTGGACATACAGCTTCATAGCTCAGAAGCAAAGAGTCCAAGTGGATGGTAATGTAAATAATAGGAGTGATGAGATTGTGCAGAGAGGGTGTACTGAGTGAAAAGAAGACCCAGGGGGCAGTTCAATCCATGTTCCAAGTACTACTGTTGCATTCAGAAACCCTCGCACCTTGAACCTTAAAGGGACAGTAATTATTTATTTTGCTCACTAGCTGCCACATGGTGGGGCTCAGTGGGGACAGTGAATTCCTACTCCATGTGTTTTCAGATGGGGAAACCTGACCAGAAGGAGAGGAGCCACTTCCCAGACAGATTGGGGGTTTGGGGAACTACAGCTCACTCCTACGGCTGGCAAGTTGGTGCGGGCTGTCAGCTGGAGCTCAGCTGGGGTTGTGGGTCGGGGCCCTCAATCCTCTTCACCCAGGTCTCTCCATGGATGCATGAGCTTCTTCTCAGGATGGTGGCTGGGTTCCAGCAGGGGACAGCGCAAAAGAATCCGGAGGAAACTGTCTCACCTTTGATGACCTTTTCTCACAAGTCACAGCGTCACTTCCTTGGTGGTCACAGGCCAGCCCAAGCCAAAGGGAGTGAACACAGGCCCCACCTCTCAACGGGAGGAGAGTTGAAGTCACAGTGTAAGAAGTGCTTGGCTGGGAGATGCTCTTTGGCTTTCTTTGGAGAACAGGTCTGCCATACCTGCCTTGGGGGAAGTGTGATGGGGAGGAGGAGCCCAGGCCCCCTGACTGTGTGCCTGCTGCTCTTCCCCTATGCTGCTCAGGCTCCTGAGGGGCGCTCTCTAGGGCAGCAGCGTTAGCATCACCTGGGGCACGTCTGGACCGCAGAATCCCAGCCCAGCCTCAGGCCTGTCATCTCATAAGATGCCCAGGAGATGCATCTGCACGATAGACTTAAGAAATGTTTCTCTACACCACGCTGGCTCCTCTGGCTGCTGGTGCCCAGGGCCTCATCTCTGTTCTCCAGTGCCGCCTCCTTCCCAGTCTGCTACACACGATATGTCAAAACCGCAGTCCGGGGAGACACCGTGGCGGTAGGTGCACAGGTGTACGAGCAGTGTGTGGACACTTCCTCTCACATTCTGATCGCTGGCCGGGCTTTCAGAGAGAGCATCTTTCTGGGACATGGCAAACATCCTCTGACAGCAGGCTAGTCCCAGCTGACTGGCAGATGGTCCTTGGAGAGAGAGCTGCTTAGTTCATTACCTCCGCGTGCAGCAGCGTGGCCGGGCTTGTGGGAAAACAGGACATCCCTGAAGTCCCTTCGGGAGTCCCATTTTAACTCTATGGTCCGGGACATAGGCCCTGAGGCTTTCTGCTCCTGGCAACAGATTAAAAAATAGCATCTACTGTCGTTTGTCAGGATCCTGTGCATGCAAGGGACAAGGAGATGGTGCTTTTAGGAAAAATCAAAACCCATAG